TTTTGGTTGGTTCTATGGCTTCATAGTGACCACCTTACTGATGGTTCGGTCTAGGGGCTTCTCCGGACAGGGCTCCGGCGCGGGAACCATGGTGGGTGAGTACGATCCATTTCTAAAAATAATATATATATATATATATATTATATATGTGTTATGCGAGCTGGTGGTTGTGTATATAACCCGTCTGCTAGCTTTCTTTGCAGTGTTTCCTGGGACCTGTGTGTTTCTGTCCTTTTTCTAGGGTAGGTCCTGGCCAGATCACAGGCTTCTGCGGGAGCCTTCTTGATCATCAGGCCTCCGGGCACAACACTGCAAAAAATTTCCTGGATGTCCGGGCTGGGCTTATGCTTTCAGGCTGCTCTGTCTGGTCCATCGTATCTAGGTCGCCCTGAGGGGCCTCCCGATCACCAGAATATCTCCTCTTGCTGAGGCATCGAGCGGGAAGTATAGTTGGCATTTACGAGAACCTTCTTGAGTAATGCTGTCTCAGGCAGTGCTCCCCTCACTTTAGAGGGTTGTATTTGAGCTTGCCTCTCCCGTTTGGCCCAGTACTTCCGGGTATCTGTGAACAGATGCTTGGAAAATTCTAAAATCCATACTATGGTAAGTGCACACATTAAGCTTTGAGCACTTTCTAAAATCCACATAGCTGGTAAGTGGGCACGTTATGCTTTGCCCACTTTCTAAAATCCACATAAGTGGTAAGTGTGCACGTTATGCTTTGCCCACTTTTCTAAAATCCACTTCCATGGGCTGTTTTCGTGGTAGTGTTGAGCAGTGCTCCCCTTTTATCTAAGGGTTACTGTCGTGGTGTCTGCCGCTTATCTGAGAAATCACACTTAGTCTTGGGTTTTGATGCCAGAAGATACACTTTATTACATCAGAATAAAGTGGAGAAGTTTTCTGCAGAAAAATCTCCAGACAAAATAATATTCCTCCTACTAATATGGCAACTCATGAACACATTCCCAGTTTAGCAAACCATGCTCCCCATGCTCCAAATTTCAGATCAATCCAATCCCAAACTCGTTCGTCTCTTCCGGCATTTGCTGTAACTTTAGCTCTTAATTTTTTAATTTTAGTCATAACTTCACTAAAAGCTCCTCCAGGGGCAGTATTATTTGTATAAAAGTACAACATTGATCTCCAAACATAACACAAACTCCTCCCTTGTCTGCCAAGAGCCAATTAAGAGCCTGTCTGTTTTGCCATGTCATTCTACTTGTTGCGTGCACTTGGTCTCCTAATAAGGATAACGCATCATCAGTATAATTAATTAATCTTTGTTGATTATAATAAATGTAATTAATCCACTCTGTATTTTTGTTTGGTGTGATACAAACAAATATTGACTCAAAACCTGCTTTTATTTGATCTCTTGCCTTGAATTTATTGGGAATTCCTCTCGGTTGTCCAATTGAGTCTAAATATACATTGGGGTCTGGCTCGTAACCTCTTCTAATTCTGTTTTTGCTCATTTAAGTTTAGTTTGTTTAGCCATCCTTCATAATATTCATCCAGGTTCTTTTAGGTAATCATTTGTTGATTATTTGGGACTTTTATAATTTCCATTTGCTTAACAGTAGCATTGACGATTAATGTTCTTAATATAGGTAATATACAGCAAAATAGTTTTCCTCCTACTAATATGGTGACTCCTAAAATCATTCCTAGTTTAGCAAACCATGCTCCCCATGCTCCAAATTTCAGATCAATCCAATCCCAAACTCGTTCGTCTCTTCCGGCATTTGCTGTAACTTTAGCTCTTAATTTTTTAATTTTAGTCATAACTTCACTAAAAGCTCCCCCAGGGGCAGTATTATTTGGTATAAAAGTACAACATTGATCTCCAAACATAACACAAACTCCTCCCTTGTCTGCCAAGAGCCAATTAAGAGCCTGTCTGTTTTGCCATGTCATTCTACTTGTTGCGTGCACTTGGTCTCCTAATAAGGATAACGCATCATCAGTATAATTAATGAATCTTTGTTGATTATAATAAATGTAATTAATCCACTCTGTATTTTTGTTTGGTGTGATCCAAACAAATATTGACTCAAAACCTGCTTTTATTTCATCTCTTGCCTTGAATTTATTGGGAATTCCTCTCGGTTGTCCAATTGAGTCTAAATATACATTGGGGTCTGGCTCGTAACCTCTTCTAATTCTGTTGTCTTCCTTGTTTGTGCTTTGTTCTGTTCCCCATTGTGCTATGTTAATTTCTTGAAGTAATCGTACTCTTACGCATGTACCTTTCCATCCAACTGGTAAAGAAGGCAATAATATCTCACCTCCACAGATCCAAAAGAAATCTGCTTTTATTATTGATTGGTCTTCATAAATTTCTATAGAAGGTAACGCAATAGCTTGATTTTCACATTTTTCAGGTGCTATTTTACTTCCTTTATTTGTTCCGAGTGCTAAAAGTTCTGGAGCTCTAGAAGGAAGTCCTGATTTCCAAGAATTTTTCTTATCTATATACCAAATAATAGCACATTTCCCTTTAAACTTGCCCACATCTTGTGTTCCTTTTGGTTTATGGAAACACTCATATTCCTGTTTATAATCTATGCTATACCATTTCGGAATCTCTACTTTCTGTTTTTCAATTTTTATATTTTGGCTGACATTCTGTATACTGACACCAAGAACCCAGAGCGGTCTATAAAAATAATCTGTTAATTTAGGATTTCCCAAAAATCCTAGACATTCAGCAATACAATATGGTCTGGTAAAATCTGTTAAATGACAAAAGTTTCTTCCAAATTCGGCACATTTTTGGTATGGCTTTGGTATGGCTATCACTTTGTTTATTGGAGATTTGGAGCACAGCAAGCATTTTTTTCCCTGTTCCTCTAGCAGTAAAGGCTGCCCATCTATACCACTCATTATTTTGGGCTGTTTCCCATAATGCATCATT